GTCCCGAGCGCGGGGAGGTGGGCACATCAAAGCAGGTCGCCGTGCCGGTGGCACGCCGCTTTGTGCTAGCGTGGGGTGTAATCAGGGAAGCTTTTAATGCCCGATAGCTCTTATCAAACAGGATGCGCCGCGGAGCGAGCGGCATCGCCCTCGCCTTCAGCATAAAAGTCGACGCGCACGCGGTCGGCGGCCAGCGCGGCCGGCAGCTGGCTGGCGAGCAAGATCGTGTGCAAAGCTACTAAAGTAAATACTCGAGCCATTGTGACGCGACTTTGGCGCCAATACACGATAGATCACTGATTCGCCGAGATCTCAAGCACGGTGGCTACTACTTTGCGGAGAATAATGAATCAGTGAGATTCCATCGTTACGTGGGTTTGAGTATGTGACTTTTGATGAGGTCGCTGCAAGCGGCGTTCCATATGTGGGTGCCGGCATGGCCAATGGGTTGACGGTGCGCTCGCTGGCCCTCACCTCACTCTGACATGGATCACATGACTCCGCTGACTAAGTGTGATCGCATTGATACAGCGTCAGCGCACATCAATTTGCACACCGTGATATATCACATGGCAATGCTGCTCACGAGCCAAACGTACAGTGAAGCCGGCAAGCCGCCATGCGAAAGCTCTGCCGCTCAACACCGTCCTTGGGCCTTGGCATTGTTTTGGTGCGCGCTTCAATCTGAAGCGCGCACCAAAACAAGTACACGCCCTTCAGAGCGTCCGTCTGGTTCAACATGCGACAACCATCAGCCATTCCGCTGCCACCACCCTGGACGGTGCCGCTGCCTGGCAAGGGGTCCCACCATCAGCATCCCCCATTGCCATCCCACATGCGCACACGACAGCCGACTTGCCCCACCCAGGGGTGGCCTTTGAGGTGAACTGTCCCTGTGACTTCTGTACGCCCAGCTCCTACAGCTGTTCATTTAATATGTGCACCATACCAGCTCGCAACAGCCTGGTCGGTGGCTGCTTGCTGCAGTCATGATGGGCACGTCTCAGCATCGGCAAGTCGCATGATCTTTGGGGGATGGCTGCAGCCGCTGGCGAGATCAGCACTATGTTAGAGCTGCGACTCCCGGCATTTGGCACGCTGCTTCGTAAGGGCACAGCCGCGGTCGCCTTGATATAGGTTCTCATGGCACAATCCTAGATGACACCCACTGGAAAGCAGCGCCCCCTGGGCCTGCTCTGGCATGTCTCAGCCTGAAAGGCACATCGATCATACAGTACAGGGTAATGACATGGTCATGACATATGAGTGAGCCGCTGTGGTGCCTGCTAGGTGCTGCATATTACCGTTGCATTGCAGACAGGGGCAAGAGCAGACCTTTGGCGCACCGCATGGATCAAGGAGAGCCGAGTGCAGCCTGCAGCAGCACTGCCTGGGAGGGCAGCCGGGTGGGGAAGAGCCGGCTCATCACACACGCATTTACGGGGTCACAGCCCAAGTTCCCTTGAATCGCCCGAAGAAGCCGGCAGAACGGTTTTTGAATGGTGGTAGCGAGCAAGGTGCGTGGTGGTTCCGAGAGTGCGCAATTTGACCGACAGGCCAGTGCAGCAAGCAAGTGTGCAAGCGGGCTGTGAATCTCATTGGGTGCTGGGTGTCAAAATTTATTTCGATTGGGCGGCACAGCCGGGGGTGCTGATTTGGCTCTTGAGGATGCCGGGCAAGGTGCAGCCAGTCTGCATAGCTGTGCCCAGTAACACCCCCTGCAAAATTGCCTCCTCAAACAACCATGCATTGCGTGGCTGCGCATCCGCATTGCCTTCCTGCCATGCCGTGCCGTCTGGTGTCAGGTCCAGGACATGACGTGGAAGTTCCTTGTTGTGGCGTGTGCAGATGGAACGCAAAGCATGTGACTGTTTTGTGTCCACCCACCAGCACCCACAGTGGAGTGGCCCATTGCCTGGCAAGAGAGTCCTGCATTTGCTCATGTGTGTTCTGTGCGCCTCATCCCAAGAGACCGACACTAGTTTGAATTCTGCCCGCTCTGGCGTGCTTCCGCAGCTCTCGCCAGACACGCCACTGAGGCGCCACCGTCATCTGGCCATCATGTGCTGTGCTTGCCGTTCACCCCATCCTCGCCGTCGCTCTCGATCTGCCCGGCGCCTCGCCGCGCCTTGACGGTCTCTGCGGCCAGCCCCGCGGAGCAGGATATGGCGGCGGTGGCCAGGGACACCTTGTCGGCCAGGACCAGGGCCAGCGGCAGCGACGGCAGCGCCGCAAACCCAAAGCTCGCGGCTGCAATGCTGGCGGGGAGCGTGATGAGGCCAGAGGTAACGCCCATGCCGACAGTGATGAGGGACTGGGCTGCCTGCGCGCGTTGTTTTGGGTGACAAGGGGTTGAGTGCGTAAAGCAGGGGGCGGGCGTGCGAACGCACCGTTCCCGCTAACGTGGTGCCTGCATGCGTACACATGCACACTCAGGAGCTGGCAGCTGCCAATGCTGTGACTGCACTACAATAGGGACGACCAGCGTGTGCCGCCTTGCGAACTCAGACCAGCGGCTGCAGATCAATGGCAGGGGCGGGAAACCTGATGCAGTGCACGCGAGGGCTGGCCCGCCCTCCTAATGACCCTGGTTGGCCCGCTTGCAGTCCCTGCGCCCGGCCTGCCCTGCTGCGCACCACGTCGACGGCCTCGGCTGCAACCGCGGCGGCGTAAAGGGACACCATGGCGCTGTCCCCCGCCGCCCACGAGGCTGCGAGGCTGGCTGCGTCTTTGCGCAGGATGCGGGCGCCAAAGTAGAGGCCTAGGATGGGGACTGAGGCGGGACAAAGACAGGACAGCAGAGACGGGGGTGCGATTTGCGTGTTGAAGGCATGTCTGGTTGTCGTGCTTTTGAAATCCCAGCAGGCGCAATGCAAACGGCGTAGGCCTGCACATTGGCACGTGTCAAGCTGCGTGCTGGGCTGTGGCGCCCGCACACAGGCCGGCGGCGCCGCATACTGCGCACTTCCAATGGTGGCGCGGCGCGCGAGGCGGCGGATGATGGTTCGGTTTATCTGCGGGGTGGGGCGCATGAGTGGGTGGGCGGGGCTTGTCTCGGTCAGGCGTGGACTGTGCGTGTGCCAGTGAGTCATTCAGGGGCCGATTTTGGCGGGAAGGTGGTCAAAGGGCGCTGCAACGCAGGAAGCGCCTCCCACCTGCCTCAGGAGCATCTTGCGGCCAATGCCCTTCACACGCAGCGGCAGCAGAGCCGCGGGCACGGTCGCTGCAGCCGCGGCTCGGGCGGGTGCGGGCGTGTCCATCAGGCGGCCACTGGCCGCAGCAGTGGCGGCCGCCGAGAGCGGCGGTGGCTCCGAGCTGAATCTGCGCACGAGCGCCAGCTGTTTGTAGGCATCTGAAGTGCTTGGCGGATCGTACGCTGCGCACGGGTGCCACGTGGAGCCCTGCCGCGCAGCCGCCCGCATCGACGCCGACGCAGTCAGCATGTGCCTTGCCCCGATCGCCGCGCCCGGCAGAATCGCTTGCAGCGCCGCAGCGCTGCAGGAAGAGCCTAATAATGCGTTGGTAGCCTGAAGCAGCATGGTAGCTAGCGAGGGGCTTCGGTTTGGTTTCGTGGAGTTGTGGGTGAGCGGGATCGAGAGCTGACCGGGTCTGTGATGGGCGGATACGTAACAGTCAAGGTTTATGATACGTACACTACTCCTCAGTGCGCTTGAATTCGATCCACGAGCTCTAGGCTGTCGGTTAGCATGCCAGCGCCGGTGAACCGAATACAGCACGGATGCCTCAGCAAAGTTTAAGTGCCTGGTATGATAGAAGGCGAACGATGGAGGACTGCCGAAGCCGCCAGTGCCGATCCGTCCTGTCAGAGCGCGGGCTTGCCACGTGTATACAGAGGCAGTCGCAGCGGATATAGAAAGCTGGTGTATTTACATGTATGGCACGGCATCCTGGCATTTGCGGCAGCGGAGTGCAGTGTCACGGTGTCTGCTGCTGGCGTGGATGCTGTGGGAAATATCGCAGAACATGCGGGGATGGATGAAGTGTAGCACTGGGCACACAGTTTGACACTTAAAATCAGGTGCTTCAGTGTGCGTCACAGCACCGCGCCCAATTCACCACCAATGCACGAGTGTTCGTGCTGGTCAAAGTACAGTAGTCTTTCTGCATGGCATCCAAATCAATTGGCGCCCCTTGCACTCCCCTTGGGTTCAGCACGCAAGGTCACAGCAGCACGGGAAGGAGCAGCAGCGGCGGTGGCAGTGGCAGCAGCAGGCATAATGCCGGGCGGCCAGGGTCTGCGCCATCGCACGTGCGCCCTTTTTTAGCGGGGCTTCAGGCATAAGGGGTTCATGCATGCCTGTCCACCTACCTGCGGGTTTACAAGGTCGGGGATTACGCCGACATGAAACTGAGTTGCGTCAGTGGTCAGCAGCATGTGCGATGGTCAACACGACGGTGCGCGGGTTCGCTCACGGGGGAAGGGGAGGGGGGCGCAGTCGCGGGGGCGGAGCAGCAGGGCGATGCTTGCATGCAAACAAAAGGGCAGGGCTGGCGCCTCAGCAGTATGCAAACGTTTAGGCGTTGGGTGCTGTCCACCAGCAGAGGCGATGGTGGCACAGGTGTCACCAGCGCAGCAGGACGTGGCCCCGCCTTAGCGAGGCAGGTACAAGGGGGGGCCGCTGGCCAGACCAGCAGCCATGCGGAATATGCGCAGGCGCAGCAGAAGGGGGGTTGCGCCTTCAGCGGGCAGCTGCTGAGCATGGACAGAACTTGCGGCTGGGCAGCGAGCTGTTGCGCTGTGCTGCTGTTGCGCAGCAGCGGCTATTCCTTTCGCAGCAGCCCGATTGTTGCAGTGGTGGAGCGTGCTGGCACTCAATCGCGGTGCCGTTTACCTCATGCACTCCCTGCAGGTGCACGGCGGGCTGCATCATGCGCAAGCGCATCCATGTGCGCATTGATCACATCCAGCCCAGCCGCAGCCGAGCTGACTTCCTGAAACGGCGCAGGGCAGCGATGACGTCAAGCACGCGGCTAAGGTCAGGGCAGATGAGGCCACGGAGGAGGAGGGGGCCGAGGCGCTGGGGTGAGCTGGCGTGATGCGACGGTGTGGAGGCCGGGACTGGGCAAAGGTGGCATGGAGCGCCGCGGGTAGGCGAGACGACAAAGGGGTGCATGGCGGGGGCCCGCAGGCGTGAGAACGCGCCTGAGCAGGCTTGCTAGTGCACACCGCGGTTGCCCATTCTGACGGCCCCATTTATCAGCCCTGGATCTCACACTCCTGCCCCCCCCCTCGCTCACTGCACGTCCCGCCTCGCAGGAAGCCCCTTACTCTGAAGGGCCAGCCCAGAGTGACTCGCGATGGCTTCAGCCTGGTGGCCGTGACCATGGAGGCCATAACGGTCAACCCCCGCGACACCATCAAGGAGGGCATCATCTAAGCCGCAACCCCGCTGATGCAGCCAGATCTCAGGGCATGTCGGGGCGTGTAGTGCATCCCAACCACCCTGCCGCTGACGTAGCGTGTGGGCTGTCTGGTGCAGCAGCATCATGTCGCGCAAGACCTTGGGACAACACCAGCGAGTGCGAGGCCGTTGCAATGGGGTAGCAGTGAGGGGTGAGCGCAGGAGTGGTGGCCCTGCGCTCCCAGCTGGGCCTTCCGGGCTGCCACCGCGGTCTGGCTGCAAGGGAAGAGCACGTGACGAGACAGGCTGGCCGCCAAAGCGATTACAGGACCAGGTGCAGGTCACATGAAAGGGCACTCATACGCCGCCCTGAATGAAGAAAACGCACCCCAGATCACTGCTGCATTAGCATTAGAATCATGACCGCCCCAGCCTCACACCATCTCAAAAGGCCCCTCCCGCCTGCCCCTGACCCGTTGGGCGCCTGCCCCGCCGCTGCGCTGCGGCCCGAGCGCTCCCCCTGGGATTGCCCCCGCGCCGCCGCCCCCGACCGCCGCCGTGAGCCTGACGTCTGCGCTGAGGCCACGCCACTCGTCCCCGGCCGACCCCGTGGCCACGCGCTCCAGCGCGAAGAAGGGCGCCACCGGGGTCTTTACGTAGTCATCCCAGATCCTGGACAGCGCTAGCCGCGCCCCCGCCTGGCGCACCACCCAGTCTATGGCCTTGTCCCAGCCGTCCGCGTTGACGGGGCTGGCGGCGTCCAGGGCGGCGTAGGCCACGTCCACCCTGGACACCCTGGTGGCGGCCCACCCAAAGTCAGCGGTGACGGACAGGTTGGCCGACAGCCGCGCCACCTGCGATAC